TGGTTGCAAAGACGGATAAACGAAGTACAAGAAGATCCAGAAAAACACCCAGACTACACCATCGAGAATGGCAACTTATACCGGCGGATATTATGCAGCAACCTAGACAATGATTCCCCTGCTTGGAAACTCTGTGTTCCAACCGAAATACGACAACGAGTGATGGAGGAATGCCACGATAAACCAACTGCCGGACATCTTGGGATTAAGAAAACTATTCTTCGCGTGATATCAAAGTATTATTGGCCTGGAATTTTTCGGGATATAAGGAAGTACGTGCAAAACTGTAGCTCATGTCAGCGGTATAAAATAAGTCAACAAAAACCTGCCGGGAAAATGTTAACAGAAATACCAAATGAACCGTGGGCAGTACTCTGTGCTGATTTCATTGGGCCGCTACCTCGATCATACAAAGGAAACACAGTAGCATTGGTTCTCTTGGATAAATTCAGCAAATGGACCGAAGTTATCCCACTGAAATCTGCTACAACAAATGGAGTGAAAAGAGCGTTACGAGAGAACATAATAGCTAGAGTTGGAGTCCCAAAGGTACTACTCACAGACAATGGATCGCAATTCAATAGCAGAGCATTGAGAAAATTTCTTGAAGATCTTGGAATTCGTCATCAATTCACAGCACCATACACTCCGCAAGAGAATCCGGTAGAACGCACCAATCGAACGTTAAAAACAATAATTGCACAAGTATCAGAACAGGAACAGCGTAAATGGGACGAGCATCTACCTGAAATAATGTTAGCACTCAACTCCAGTGTATCCACATCTACTGGTTACAGTCCAGCTTATATTATACACGGAAGAACCCCCAGACTCCCAAGTGCACTCTTCGATGAAACCACACTTGGAACAAACTGCGCATCGATACCCCTTGAAACCAAGCAACACGAAATGCAAGAAATACAACAAATTGTGAAACTTAACCTACAGTCAGCTTCCCAAGACCAAGCCAAGCACTATAATTTACGACATAGGGCATGGAAACCACAGATTGGCGATATGGTTTTAGTTAAAACGCATCCTCTATCCAACGCTCAGGCTCATTTTGCTGCAAAACTGGCACCTAAGTTCTCAGGACCCTATCAGGTGGTCAATTTTATATCGCCAGTCATTATCAAACTCAAGCATATGCAAACACATAAAGAGAGTAGAGCTCATATTAGCGAACTAAAAACATATTACCATGAATAAATCAAAATACCGAATGTACTGCAGCAGGAGTAACGGGATCTACTTAATAAAAATTCCTATAAAATACGAAGACAATTATAGGAGGATTTAGTTGAATAGTATAAAGCCACAGAGCAAGATGAAAGTCAAACAATGGATCAGCAATTGCCCAATAGAATACACTACTCTCAAACCAAGTGCAGTAGTAGTAAGTCATTCCGAACAGAATAAGAAGCTCACCACCAGCATTCAAAAATATCGAAAGCGGCTCGAAACAATTGAACAAGCCAAGCCCAGGACCAAGTTTTTAAAGGAGCCAATTCCAGTAAAACCAAGATATAAAAAGCAAGCAGAAACCAAGCAGCCAGTGGTTAACCCGCCAACCAAACCTAGAAAAGACACCGATTTCTTGGATATTACAGCCGCGGAAGACCTGATGAAAGAGTTACAGGAAATATGCCAGCAGCGACCAATATCACCGCTAGCTCCAGAACCAACGCATGCAGAACTGTGGGAGAAAATAAAAAAGGACGCTCAAAAGCTAAAACGAGGTCGTCGCCATACATTTTTTGTACAAAGCGGAGCAACGAAGCATAAGGTGCTCATAGCAAATTCTGGTGCCATTCGGGTCGTTCCCCCTTTCCAATGAAGGGAGGGAGTGTGACGATTTTTTCCAACGCGTCACAAATAAATTATAATAGTTGAAAATAGCATGAAGTTATTATAGTAAACAAATAAAAAAAAAAAACCCAACAACAGAATTAAACTATTTTTAGTCGAAAAATATATATAGCATGAAGTTATTGTAGTAAACAAATAAAAAAACCCAACAACAGAATTAAACTATTTTCAGTCGAAAAAAATTATATATATAGCATGAAGTTATTATTATTATTGTAAACAAACAAAACAATAGAATTAAACTATTATTAGTAAAACCAAACCCACGGAAAAAAATATTAGTCTAAGCTATGAAAAAAATATATAAAGTATTAATAAAGTAAAAGGAATTATTTTAGAAAGTAAGATAGTAATAAGTAATTATAAATTATCATAGAATTTAGTTATCAAAATTAAAAGAAACAATAAATCTCTTGAAAATACAAATTAAGTAATAATACTTCCGATTTCTTTGAGGGTAATTATTTTGCCAAACTTTAATAATAAATATGCAGCAAACAACAACAGCAGAACATAGCGAGATCAGTAGCAGGCAATAACAACTTAAAAGAAAGCTACACAGTATGCACTCAGAAGTCAGTTATCCCGTTATATAAAATCCGTATAAAAGGAGAAGCAAAGTAAAACACAGGAACTTGGCCACAGCACTTCGAACAGTGCACATCACCAGAGGTTCAATCACAGGTCGTGAAGCAGAACACTTCACAAGATAATCACAGAGGTAATTATTAAGTCATAGAACTGATTCTTAGCAACACAGCCCTATCGGTAGTGTTGTTTCCTAATCCCACAGTGTAGCCCAGTCGGTAACACTGAACCTAGCAACACAGCCCTATCGGTAGTGTTGTTTCCTAATCCCACAGTGTAGCCCAGTCGGTAACACTGAACCTAGCAACACAGCCCTATCGGTAGTGTTGTTACCTAATCCCACAGTGTAGCCCAGTCGGTAACACTGAACCTAGCAACACAGCCCTGTCGGTAGTGTTGTTTCCTAATCCCACAGTGTAGCCCAGTCGGTAACACTGAACCTAGCAACACAGCCCTGTCGGTAGTGTTGTCTCCTAGCCTACCTTTAGTCATTCTTTTGTGTTCTCTTATTTACAGGAGTTATATTAATTGTCCGTATTTATAATTACAATAAAATATCATTAGTACATAAGTATAACTATAAATATTGTAATAAATTTATTTTGAGAAAAATAATAAAAACCACGAAACTAACGAAAATAGCCCGTTTTTTAATTACGAGAAGATTCAGGGTTACAGAGAAAAAAATATTCTTGTAACGACTCTGGGATCCGGCGAGAAAAACCCCGGCTTAAGAAAAAAAGGTTCTTTACAAAGGTTAATTAATGAGCCTCAACAAATTATAATTTAATTTTATAAATACTTAATAAATATATCTAACAAAAAAATATACTACTGAGAAGAATTTTCAAAGTACCATGGTACATTAGGACGAATGATATCCTCAGGGACCTCAAGATTGATCCCATCAAAAAATGCATAAAGGATAGAACCCTGAAATTATTAACGAAAACTGAAAACTGACAGACTTACCAACACCGCGTTATCAAATCTCAGAATGGTTACAGGCTCCTCGGGGAGGTATGCAGATCTGAGGTCAATTATTGCTTAGTCTAGTCTGATGAAGTGATAAACAATAATCCAGTCAAGACGTAAAGAGTGGTTTTGAAAATACCTCGAGTTAAAAAAGAGTAAAAGTGCTCAAGTGCACTGGCTCAAAGAGCTTCAACATAAATAATAAAATATACTCATAGAGGAAGGACAAGTAAGTAATTGGCTGATAGGTTGCCAAGAGAGGCAAATATATGCTATAATTTTTGTGCTAAACTTTTTGTGGACTCAAGCAATACCACTCAAATCAGATTTTAAGGAGATGAGCAGTGGAAACTATAGACCGCTGGTTTATTCATTCCAGCGAAAAGAATATTAGATAAGATACTTTCGCTAAGCATGGCAGCGTTATTCGGTTACTTTACAGATCATTTCGAATTGCGGTATCACTTAAATAAGTTGAAGTGTTCCGACACATTCCTTCTTCTTTTTTCCTATTCTTCTTTTATCCAACCTTAATCTTTTACGAGTCTGCTCACTTTGTATGGCATCTTCAAATCACATGGCCCTTGATTGTCTCTTTATTTATGCTTATATATATACGCGACTTTTTTTTAGTAATATGCAATATTTTTATTTGTCTATATAGAGTCCTCTCTTTATTTTCTTCATTCAATTTACGCATGATGCAATTAAACCGAAAGAAAACTGATTCATTATTATTAGAAACTTATTAAATTCCTTATTGGTTCCTACACACGTTAACGAATATCAGACAAAATTTTGTCTTAAGTATGATAATTAAAATGGATGATTATTTAGCTGAGAGAAGAACATATGTAATCTTAATTGTCCTTAGTCGTTCTGTGGATTCGCAAAAAACCATTGGATGAGGTTATCAGTAGATGGAAAAAAACAAAAGGCTATTGCTTTAATCACATAGACCAACGTAAAGCTAAATGACTTCTCATTCCAGCAAAAAAAGACTTTGGAGATGACTGCAACATGCATTACTACTTATATATGAGTTGAGGCTGTCCGTCACTGTTGTCTCTCATTTTTGAAAAACGGGCATTGAAAGATTAGAATGTTTTTTTCCACTTGAGCATTTTTGTAAATGTCCAACAAATACTTTAGTACTTCTGTAGTATTATTATGTTTCCAAACTTCAAACTAGAAAAAAATTTATAATTTAAGAAACCAAGGTGAAATGCAATGGAATATGTAGGGCTTTAGGAAAATGGGAAAATTCAAAATTACCTAGAGAAGAATGACAAAAATTGCCCTGCCAATATAGGCAGAAACTGTAAATATTCATTGAGGATTGTGCCATATGAAAGAACCTTGTTTTTGCTCTATATTCTGTATAAAAGTGATATATTTTATTGAACAAACGCTTATTTGAGATAACAATGGTTTTGTTTATGATTAAAATGAACAATTCTTTCATTAAAAGATTAAATGAATTAGTCTCGATATAGTTTACTTGTGAAATAAAAATCGTGTAATACAAAAATAGTAAGATAGCAAATTGTGTACAATTAAAGCACACAACAAAAAAACTTGTGTGGCACTGAATAAAGTCTCTAATGTATGAAGATAATAATGTGGAAGTCAACATTCACTTGCAGTCCATTTAATCCTCTTCATCCTTCTCCTTCTTAAAAATCTTGTCCTGTTTGCGTGTTGGTTTAAATGGCCTAGGTTCTATTACTTCAAAACTAGGTGCTACGTCATGGGGTATATGTCTCCCTTTTATAATTTTAATTGCGACATCTGGAGCCATATATTCGGTAAACTTGAAACACATTCTACTGGCAATTGACTTTGCGCAATAGTTAGACCTGTCTATATTCTCGTGGTACTAAAAATAATAGACAAAATTTATTGTTATGAAATAAATAATTAAAAAAATTAAGAAGTTAAGTAAAGTCGCAGATAGTAAAAATTGTCTGCATTCATTTAATGAAAAATATAGTATAATAAACATATTTGCTTACCTCACATGACAAACCAACGTGATATGCATAATTATCTCTATAGAAAACTGATTGGATGCTGAGGGAACTTGGCAATGATAATTCACCTATTTTGCATGCCGATTCCTTCATAATATGAAATAAGTGCTGAATGGGATACACTTCAAGAGTTATGTGGCTGTCATTAAAATCATTTTTCATATACGCCAGTATAGCTTTTGCTATATACAAGCTGTCTTCCTTAACATAAAGTGGCCGATATTCACCAGTAGCTTCGTTCTTCGCAAAATTCATTATAGCGACATATAGTTTTGACAAATTTTCTTCACCCAAGGCATTTGGGGGAAGCGGAAGCTTATGTGTATTGCTGCAATGTACTTGAGCATCATACTTATTACCGTATGGTAAAACCTCTACAATATACCGAAAAATTTAAATAAATACATGAAGCTTATTGTTAATGATATTAATATAATTATCTATATTTTATAAATGTTAAATGTTGTTACATACTTGGATTAACTAGCGAGTGATAAGTTTTCAAAAGACCAGTTTTTAGGGAAAACTCAGCTAGAGATATTTCGGCTGGTATAAAAACATCGCCTTTTATGCTTTTTGCAAAATAATTTGCTGCGAAAACAACATAACAAGTTGAGTCAAAACCTGAGGAATAAAATAAATGATAATTATTATAAAAAAATTTGACTTTTGATATCATTAAAAATATACTTACTTCCATTTTGAACTGAAAGTTTTACTGAGTTCTCTATTTTCCGCTTTGTCAGTAATTCAAGAAGATTACGGTCCTCTTGTTCCTTAAATTCCTTGGTTAAAGGAGGACCAGTCAAATGAGTACGTCCTTTTTTTGGTTTTTCATCATATTTTCCCCTTTTTGCCTTATTTTGATATGGTTTATCAGCCATTTCGTTTATATTCTTTCTAGAAGCTATATAAAATATATACTACAAGCACAAGGACAAAATACTAAAGTAACTTATATCGTTGGTGAAAAAGTGCATAATTTAGGAGAGTTAGGAATATTTAGACGCCCAATCCAAACATTATTGTGAATATAGGTAAACCGATATTATTGGTATTGTGCACATTTGCTTACAGAGCAGATGAATCAAGTTATATATTTATTTTAGCGATTAGACTTTAGTAAGATTTAGTGTATAATTTGTATTTAATAGACCTGTAATGCTGATGACGTCATTAGTGAAGATTTTGACCTATACAAATACTATAAATATAATTTTATTCTATTGTTTTGCATTGAACTGAATTTTTTTAAGAAAAAAAAAGTCATCAAAACTCACCTCTCTTTAAAAGCTAATTTCTATTTTAAAACAAAAATTTTAAAATTTTTTAAATATCAAACTCTAGCAATATATTTTAATTATATTGCTAATAAGTGTTTTTAAAAGCAATTTTGTAGTCTGCAGCCGGAAAAGTTTGATCAAATTTTTTAATATGTTTAAATGGAATTTTAATATACTTAAATCGGGCAGATATAAGCACCAAAGATTATCCGAAACGTTTTCTTTTTTAATTAAAAAAATTGTTTGATTATGATTGGATAGTACTTACTTTCCTTTGTGAAAGATATAAGAAACCAAACAAAAATTTCCTTATAATTATAATTTTGATAGTAATTGTCTTTTCGGTTCGTTGGATGCACTTCTTCCAAAAATCAAGTTAATAAAACGATCCAAACTTTTTTAAAAATCCGACAACAAAAACTTGTAGTTCTGCGTTATAATAAATAATGTCAAACTGAATGCACAATTCACAATAGTACTATGACGAGCCAGTTATTGTGAATAATTGTCCTAAAATACAGAAAAATAAACCAATATAGAAATGAACGGCTGTTCATTATATAAGCAACTAAAAAATAAAATAAAATAAAAATTAGAATTAAATTAAGATTTGATGTGTGAATAAGTTATAAGCACAGTTAACTGAATAAACAAAATTACTATTGAAATTATGTTAGACCCATAAAATATTCTTTAATTTACCCTACAGTGTTTTTTAAATTTAATTAATTATTAATAGAAGTAGTATTGAGTTCTATTATAATTCATTATTTATTTAAATAAGTTAATAACTAATTATTTAAAGTTTGTAATAAAAGCATTGATTCATTTATTACTCTTTTTAACTTATCTTACTATTGTGAATGAATTGAAATGGAATGAAAACGAAAGTTTCATTAAGAAATTAAAAAAAAATCTTAAGTTTAATTTCAAAACCACTTGATTTATCATAATTATTACCTTCTTCTATTGATTATCTTCTAATCTATAATAGAATCATTAAACCTTTATTATTTAGTTCCTGGATGTAAACTTTGCAAAGCAAAATTCAGACATAATTAAGATTTGTTGTGTGAACAGATTTTTAAAGAAGTTTAATATGATTAATATAAAGGAATAAAATGAGAGCCACATTTATAGAAATTTCGTTCATAAAAACTAACGAGCAAGAAACGAGTCACTCAAACCGGGTTTTAATTACTGCCAGGCAATGGAAATGTTCTCGCCACAAACCTATCACATTCAGAGAATACTATAACCCTCACGTGACCTCTTCAATATGAAATAAACTGACATCATTTTTTGTGGTATACTTTTAGAGGATCTTTCTTGAATATGTCTATGCTTTAGAGACCCTATTCTAACCAAAATCATTTAGCCTACCATTGTAAGTTTCTTAATGAAGTCTGCATCACTTGTATACTGACGTTCTTGAACTATTTTCATTATTCTAATATCTTACCTATATTAGATATAATAAAGTAACACGAAATTAAATCCTAAGAGTTGGTTACGGCATCAAAGGCTTACTACTGTAAGTTTGCTTATTACTAATTCTAGTGTTAACATTGTTACGTTTATATTTAAAAAAAAATTATACATTTAAATATACATTTACATGTATATGCATTACATCCAGATCTGTTCTTAGTAAGGGGCAGGAGAGACCCATGTAACTGAAGCGTCTCCTGAAATAAATTGAAGAACTATATTTACACATATGTACAGTTGTTTTTAATTTGTGTATTCTTTATATATCATAACTGATGCATAAGATTAATATTTTTTAATGGAATTATTTGAAAACCTGTCTGAAATAAATTTCTAACTACGGATCTAGCTAGACAATACATAAATCATATTACGTTAATTTTTATAACTTTATTTTTTATCATTTCTACCATTTTTGCCAATTAATGACACCATGACACCAATTTGAAGAGATAGCTGAAGAAAAATACTAATCGTATATTAAGAATCAGATTGCATATTTTTGTTGTAAAAGAAGGCCTTTTCTTTTGTAAGTATATTACAAAAGAACAATTGATTATTTTGAAAATTGCATATGAAACAACAACACTGCTGGCTTATTTACTTCCACCTTTTTAAAATCGCGTGACTAATAAGCAGCTCAAATCGTATGTTTGTCAATACTAAAAATTCATCTATTGTGAACGATTTTTGGAAGTACGTACAAAATTTCGAGTTAACTGTCAACGAATGATTTCGTTAATTATTCGTATTTTCTATCGTCATTATTTGTAGCAAATACTTCTTTTTATTTATTATTTTACTGTTAAAAGGCAAGAAAATTCATATTTTATTCACAATCATGTAAAGAGTTACATATGAATGCTTACCAATAATTGCAAAGAATTATTATTCATTTACGAAATTTTAACTTTAAATTATAATAAGTGTTTTGCATATGTAAGCCTAACTAAATCTCCATTTTATCCAGAGTTGCCATCGTAAGTAGTGTTTATATTATATGTTCTTTTGCGACATGCTTACAAAAGAAAAGTCTTAATAAAATCTTTTGCGCTACCGTTTCTCGCCTGCGTACACCACTGCGTATGATGAATAAATCATTATTGAGCCATAGTTAAACTTGGAGTTTTTTTTGAGCAATATTTTATTCAAAAATACATTAATTTTAAAAATTGATAATACAATTTTTTAAAAGACAATTGCATTGCTCAAAAGTGCGTGTTTCAGTGGTCCACTTAAAATTATTTATGCAAAATATACGGCGTGGCGCATTTTTCACTGTCAGTGCATTTCGGCTCTCGAATAAAATTTATGTTAAATTGTGCTGATTTAGCGACAAATAAAATTGCAGAACAAAAGGTCTGGATAGGTGTTTTTCACCTCTGCAGACCTTTTATAATTTATGTACTCGACAAAAACAAAATAAAAGGTTTTATTTGTCTTTTTATTTTTATTTGCGCAGGTATTAAAAAGCGCGACAAAGGCACAATATGCCAAAATAAATCGCAATAAAATACAACAAAGTTGAGAAGTGTTTTGGGCAAAACGTTACGATTTCGCAGGAAGCTTGGTAATTGCAGTACACGAACTGTTCCAGGCAAAACAGAAAAAAAAATGATAATAAAAAAATAAAACCATCACGAAAAAGCCATTCACAATCAGTGGAACATACAAAGAACAATAGGGTAAGTACAGCAAAATTCGAAAACAATGTCGGAGAATAAAATGGTGCCATAAGGTCCTAATGTAAGCGCCTGTAACGTTACATAGTTTGTAAGGATTTTCGAGCAGAAAATGTAATAAAATTTAACCAAAGTCAAAGGGAAACTCACCGAGAAAAATAGTGGGAGTACTTAAAAGTGCAAAAGAATGGAAACAAAGACAAACCAAGAAAACAAAAACCAGTAGAATGAAACGAAAGTAAGTAGCAAAAAGTCTTCGAGGTCAAGGTGTTTGCATTATAAAAAAATAAATAATGACAATAAAAGAAAATCTGCTGTACGGACTAAGCCCTAAAGGCACTGATAAGGAACAGTTTCTGCTAGTAGGGGCAAATGTTCAAATGAGAAAGAATGCCATACGCTCTCCCTACCTTACATCGTCTGATGCATCAGGACAGAAAACAAAACTTATACAGAGTAAAATTTTCTTAACGGATATGGGACAATCTGAAACATGCCAACAAATAACAAATATTTTAGTTTACTAGCAAAAGGATACACCCACATTGCGGCACTTTTACTCGAAACTCTAAAAGTTCAGTTTCGGTTTCGGTTTTTTAGTTTATTTTTTACAGTTTCTTGTATATTTTGGACAATTTTATTTGACAGCATTTCAGCTCTTCTTAAATGAAAAATATACAAAAAATATTGTTTCTTTAAATTTTATGTGCAAATTTATTTTCCTGAGTTTTATGCACTTATACAGCAGCGCCCCAAAATTTGTGCTTGTTTACTAATTCTATTTGAATTCTATTAAAATGAAGCGATACCAAAAAAAAAAAAACTTTTAAGGAAACTTACAACTAAAGCATTCTGAAACATCCTGAAGCAACGATGAAACTCAATCGGTTGAATGCACAATGAACAAACAATAGACCGGAGATAGCTTGCCTCTGGTTGCGTTGATTTATAAATAATTAAATATTAGAAAGTCTTTAATAAAATTTGAAAATATATATTATTTGAAACTATATCGGAAGACTGTAAATCATTTTTGGTTTAAAATTATTTATTTGTTATCATTAATATAATTATAATTCAAATTTCTCACATTTTTCTTATTTATTAATATTTAAAAAACACGTATAAAAGATTTTGAAACCTATACAAATTAATTAAGATATATACTGTATTTAAATCATAGAATAAAAACGATATAACACAGAAGATGAACCGAACACGTCACGAAATATATCACCTAACGGGTAGATATGATTCAGAGTCTGCTTGCCAAGCAGATCTAATGTTAAGCCTAAGAGCTTCGAATTGAATGTCATAGTCTACTATTAATATATATAAAATACTAACAATTCTTGAAGGACTAGGAATCAAAGATTTATAACTATTTATATAAGCTACACTTTTATCATTAGTCGATCTTTAATAATTTGAATCAAGATATTAAGATATTAGTCGATATTTAATCATTTGAATCAAGATATCGAGATATTGGGTTTTAAAGTATAAAAATTTTACAGGAAAATTGCTAACAATTGATTATTTTTAAAATATACTAATTTGCACCAGATGCCAAGTTGTCAATCAATACTAAGCTGAACTGACTGTTGGTATTTACAGAGGCTACTGACTAAACATGATGGCTGAACATTTGTGTTGTAAATAAAACAAGCTCCTCCTTTCGAATAAAAGCCAATATATTATCTGTTGCGAAAAATCAAAAGTCCGTGGAGAGCAGGAACACCCGGCCTAATGATCTCCTCATGTTTCAGATCAAAACTGGGTAGTCACAAAAAATGTGATTAAAGTTTTTATATGTTTTTAAGTAGAACCTAGACTTTGTCTGCTCAGACTAATCCCTTTTAATTAATTGTGTAAGAAAAACCAAACTCACATCGTAGTGTTATTAATTGTAGCAACAAGAACAAAATTTAGTTTTGTAGTTTCATAAACTTTATATTTACCGACGATTTCAACTTTCAAACATAAGATATATGGATTATTATATGAAGGGACCTGGATATACAGTATATAGTTTTGGGGTGATACAGCAACATCTACTATACAAAAAGTTTAAAGCTTAGATTTCAGTCAAAAGGATTAAGAATGATTACAAATAAAAGTTCCTAAAGCGTCACAAGAAATTCATTTCGAACTCAGCCGGCATACGGTGTTAGGGCACTATAGCAACATTGAATATAATGAAATTGTAGAGACAATATTCAAATTAAATAGATTAAAAAATATTACCATTCTTAATAATTATGTCACATATAACAAATTCATTCCTTTTTTATAAGAAGGATCCCGACTAACCTACTAATTTTGAAACTCACCTAA